CTCTGAAAAATCCATGGATAACTAGCTCATTTAAATTACTCAAACCTATATCTTGAACAACTTGGTTTTGGCCACCAGGTACCAAAATGTCTAGTCCGGTCCACAGGTTGATGAGCTCGTGGCTTCTGAAATGATAATCTTCAGGAAACAATGCAGAATAGGAGAAACATTGTTTCAAATAAAAAGGGAGAAAGTCAAAGCTAATCTTCAAGGCAGGCATAATTTCATTGTCATCGGTTTGCTTCTCCCATTCCTTACTTTTTAGGACCCTTTTCCAATGCCGCAAGCTAAGTTCTTTACTCAGTAATCTACCAACAGTTTTTGCTGCAAGAGGGGAGCCCTTCAGCTTTTCCATTATCTTATCTCCTGTCTCAAGTAAGAAATGTTTATCCCTTGCACATTGTTCATCACCAAAGACAAATGCAAGAAATAACTTCCTAAACTCTTCAGATTCTAAACCATTCAGTTCTATTGATTGGCCAGTTGTTTTAACCTTTTGTGCTATTGCCTGGAACTGAGTTGTGACTAGAATCATGCACCCCCTTTCTTCTGATTGATTGAGCGTCGACAATAATTTTTTCCAATCATCACCATTACTAATCCGCCATATATCATCCAATACAAGCAAGAACCTTTTATATTTTAATCTTTGTTCGATCACATCTTCTGTTGTAATAGCCTCTTTTTCCATTTCAACTCGAGGTGTACATGTTTTAATTTGTTCTAGCACCTTATCTAGATTGAAATTGAGCGATACACATATCCAAATCATGACTGGAAAATGATTCTGCACTTGCTGGCTGCGATATATGTGTTGTATAAGAGTTGTCTTCCCCATTCCCCCTGTACCCACTACCGGCAACACAGTTAGACCCTTGTCATAGTATTGACCCTTGGTGATATCATGTATGATGCTATTCATGACATGGTCCCTCCCATACAGTTTTGGCTCATCAATTCGACTTTTGGTGATAGGACGACTCAGGGCAATGTCTGGGACAGTTCTAGGGCCACAATGTATCAGAATCTTGCTAACCTCATTGCGCATAAGTTGCAATTTCTCTACAATGTCCTTCATCCTTTGAGAGAAATAAACCCTATTAAACTCAAGCTTTGGTGTTTCTTGCAAATTGCCACAATCATCATCACTATCACAGTCGTCATCACTGCCACGATCACCATCACGAACATGTGGATGCAGGGAAGATGAGCAAGGGAGGAGTTTACCAAGCTTGGGCATGCATCCGCTAAGCTCCTGGTTGGCGTCTGGGGCCGAGGAGTCGCTGTGTGACCTCTGCCGATGCTTAGCACAGTTGACCAGTTTGCCAAAAGCTTTGGCGGTGTGGCAAGCATTAAAGGCAAGGTTGTGGAAGCAACCCTTGTTGTGCTCGCCGGCAGCATCATCGGTGCCATGGAGCTCATCGTGGATGCGGAAGTAGTCGAGCTCATCTAGCAAGTCTTCAGCATTTTGCGCCGAGTCACGCAGCTTCTGCAGCAACATCTCCATGGCCGGCCCGCCGAGCTCCTTGCGTCCAGCTTGTTCGAGCGTGGCCTTCACCAGCATCAGTTCCATGCTGAGGGCCTCGATGTTGAAACCAAAGTTCCTGGTGGCCGCCCATGCCTCCAGCACCCCGTCCGCAACGGGGGCTAGCGCCTTGCCGACTACCCATTGCGCCGCACTGAGGGCCGCGTACATCCTCCCTCAGATGCAGGGGATGGACAACCTACATCGATCCAGGAACAAAAGGGGATCCATCAACCGTGGATATATGCATGCATTAGTTTGCCGTCACCAATCCTGGAGGAGGATGATAGTAGTACTGATTGTATAGGCTAGCTGCAAATTAAAGGAGGAGTAGCCTAGTAGGTACTGACGACGTTCACGCGCGCACGAGTTGCTGCTCTGCCGGTGATGGACGTCCCCTGCCTGCCGTGGAGGCCTAGCTAGTTGCAAAACGGTGGGTAAAGCCGTTGAGAGAGAACTGATATTGATATACAATCTCTCTAACCTGTAAGCTGGGTAAACATGGAGTCTGAGTCTCCTCTCTTGCAAGCCAAAAAGGAATTGAAAGTGAAATGTTCCGACAGAAACTCGTTTGTTCTCTGAAAAGCATATACAATTCAGTCAATGCACTTGTATAAAACATTCAGAACCGCAGCTCGGTCAGCTTGTGATTCTGGAAACTGCAACAGTGGGCTCTGTTAACCTACATGTATTTGTGTGTGTGAGCATTGTACGAAGTCTCGTCAGTAGGCTAGTATAGTGTACGTGTGTGCAATTTTCCCTCCAGCACACACGTCCCTCCACCTCTCGAACACGGCCGCCCACGATTTCTATCGTGGCCCTAGTGCCCTCTGTTCCCTCTGTATATGTACCCCCCCAGGTGAATTGATCAAATGTGTTGAATCTTCTCCCTGAAACAGGCTCGACCAGCTTGTGATTCAGACCAAGAGATGTCTTTGGGAGGAGCAGTAGAGAATTTGCTTGGGATGGCACCTCATACCAAGCACTAGGTATGTCCGTGCTTGCTCCCTGAAAAGAGTTGAACAAGGTACAATGATGGGAGCAAAGATTGTCTGAATCATTTCAAAGCAGCAAAGATGCAAGGTAGCACAAGGTAAGGTATACAGATTAAAAAGTTGAGTTTACCTTCTTTTGCCAAACATTGATAGAAGGCTAGCTAGAAGTGTCAAGTACGCTTCCAAAGCCTGCTGCCTGCACAAGATCGATCAGCTCATGTGAATGCAGGCGAGCAGTACGGAGCAGCTGAAATCACTGAAACGAAAATTAGCGGTACGGGACTTATAAACAGTCCAGCTAGTGCCGGCGCCTCGCCGAGCCCTTCCCTGCTGCCCGCGCCGCCAGCGTGTGGAAAGACGGCGGCGACTTGCCGATTCTCTGCGATTTGGGTGGGGATCTCTCTCTCTCGAGGAGGAGGACGAGAGGAGGTCATGTTCGGTGTTCTCCTTTTTTTTTTTTGAGATTTACTTTTCTTTATCTAGGCTCACTAAGCCCACCAAACAACTGAACGCCCAATGAAACCGTCTCCTGTTTTCTTCGCCTCTGGGTCCACCAGATGCAGCACTTACCGCCAAAAAAAACACTAGCATCTGAGTGATTTAGATTTTCTATAAAAAAAATCTGAGTGCTTTAGAGTGAACATGATTCCAAAAAGGACAAAATGTTGTGGAAATTCAAAACACGGCCCGTTTGAATTGTTGTGGGATTCAGCAGTACTTGGTACGGTAGCGACTCATATGAAATACTGTGGTGCGACATTTTCTGGTTGTAGTTCCTAGGGGTTTTTAATTTGTTTTCATTGTGATTAACAGAAAAATACTTATTTGAAAAAATGTGAACAATTTTTAAATTGTGGGATTTTTTCCTAAAGTTTCAAACATATTCTGAATTTTCTTTTCTTAAATTCCATATAAAGACTGAAAATAAAAAAAAAACCTGGTAAAGGAAACAAAATGAAAAACGAAGAAAAACCGACCAGAGCCTTCTAGAAGGTTCCCAAAAACCGGATTCCCGTGCCCATTTAGCTCACTCGTTATTAGCATGATGTGTGCGAGTGACCCACATTTTTAAGGAGCGTACGTTGAATTGGAAATACCATTTTGGCTGCTCTCCTGGTTATTAGGGAGACGAGGCTCAGCTAGTACTGGGCTTAGCTTGGGATCAATGGCAGCAAAGCAACCAACCCTTGAGCACAGCCGGCCCATGATCAGTTCATGGGTTCATTGTGCCGTTGTGCGTGTATGTGTGTGTGTTTTGCATGTGTTAGGAGTGTTGTGGCACATTGGGGATGTGGTGTTTGAATGGAAAGAAAGAAAGAAAGAAATATGAGCAGCTATAACTTTCATGCGTCTCATATAAGATGAAATAGTAACAAATCTCTCTGAATGCAAAGAAAGAATGTGGAATCTGCAGACAGCCTTTTTTGCATCATCGAAATTAAGCTCTGTTTTATGATGCAACGACAACACTTGGAAGGAATGCTAAAAATAATATGAAGAAAAACAGTTGGGGAAATCGCAGAAAACAGCACTGACCTTTGGTAATCAAATAAATCAACACAGACAGTGACAGACAACCTTCCAGCAGATAATACGGCTCCGAGTAAGCAAGCATCCATAGGGTATGTATGGTTGGAAAGCAGGGGAGATGAGCAGAGCGCCATTTGTCAAGCAGCTTCCCTTAATGATATCTTCGGCGCAGTGGGCACGGCGTCGTCAAGGTAAGAACACGCTGACCATTTATTTCGACAGCAGGCAAGATACCATCTGTTCCATGATACGTCGACAGGCAAATAAAACAACAGCAAACGAGATATGCAAATACTTTGCAATAATATCAATGCAAAATACTTACCATCTAAACCTTCTCCAGCTACTCGCACCTGCTAACTTTTGACCATCCATTCCATTAGCTGATTATACTCACAGCAGACACGCATCATCTCCTTCTTAACTTTGCAGCACGCCCGCAAAAAGATATATATCGTAAATATATCGTATAGTCTTACTATTGTATTACTTTGTAAGGTCTTGTGAGAATAATTAATAAAATGGCTGTATGCATCGCCCAAATGCAGAGGCCGGGGTCATCCTCCTTTTCTAAAAAAACGCTTGCTAATTACATACACGCTCATGAGGACACCATCTATTGGATGCTATCGAAGCGGTCCTAAACTGCAGCACATCTTTCTCGGCACATATGTTAACAGAATAAAGCAACTATACAATCCATGTTTATATTCCATAGAAATGTATGGGACATGTACCTAGTCTGCTACGGTGGAGGAAAATATTATGATGCCTTTACACCATGTTTCACACAACGGAGTAATCATTGCTAGCACGTTGGTCGTCTTTCCTAAAAGAAAGATACATTTTGATTCATGGATGCCTTTATTATTGACAATAATGTGGTTGTGGGCAGTACAAAACATTCGTAGTGGCCACTAAGTACGTTTACATAACATGAGAGTCTAATGTTACATTTCTCGCTTTTTCAGCTTAACCATAAGCCCATTTTTCATCTCCAGTATACAAGACGGCTTAGGCTGGATGCTTTGCCCTTCCATCACCTCCACATCGAAGTTCCACAATGTTGAGGCGATGACTGTCTTCATCTGCATAACCGCGATGTCCTTCCCGAGGCACATCCTCGGGCCCGAGTTGAAGGCCAAGAACTTGTGAGATGGTATGTACCTTAGCTTGTTGCCATCCTCCGAGAACCACCTATCTGGATTGTAGTTCAGGCAATCTTTACCCCATATGCCCTGCATTCTCCCCATGGAATGGAGAGAAATAAAGATGGTGTCGCCGGTGTGCACCTCATGGCCACTCGGCATGATATCATCAGCGGCGACTACCTTGCGCTCAAGAGGCGCCGCTGGGTACAACCTGAGAGTCTCGTACAAGACGGCTCTTAGATAGACCAGAGATTTGGTCTCATTCGGCTCGAAGATCACCATGGAATCCACACCGGCCGCTACTTTACGTGATGCAATGGGTGAGAGTTCTTTGCGGATGATTGACACAATTTTAGGGTGTTGGGCAAGGTTGTAGAAAATCCATGTCAATGTTGCTCCAACTGTGTCCCTGGCAGCGAGCATGTAGCTAATGATCATCGCACGGAGCAAGTCATCATCGTCATAATCGGGGTCGTTGAGGAAGGAAGAAAAAATATCTATACCTTCTTGTTCCTCGTCATTGCCAACACGACATGTGTTGACCTTCCTCCTATCCATCATCTCCATGACGAAGGCACATAGCACCGTGTGTGCTGCCTTGAGCTTCCTCTCAGGGTCCATGTTTAGCCACCTGATCAACCTCCAACAAGAAGCTGGCATCATGACTCGGAATAAGGCCACCTCCATGACCGTGTCCATGGCAACGGCAGCGTCCATGGGCGGCATGTCCCAAGATAGGAGACCAGGGTCCACATCGAAGAGAGGAGTAGCAGCCATGTCAAACATAAACCTTGACATGAGTTCTTGCATGTTGAATGGAGTGTCGGTGCTCGCCATGTGCGCAAACAACGGGAGGAGGATGTTCTCTACCTTGTCGCGGCAGCAAGCCTCCATCCTTGCAAGCAACCGCTGGCTGCTGAGTACGCCCTTGATTTTCGCACGCTGTCGACGGGCTGGCTCACCGTCGATGGTGAAGATGCTGCCACCCATGATGTCGAAGATCGCGGCGAACTCCGCACCCTTGGGAAAGTTGGTGTAGTTGGTCGTGAAGATGTGCCGGATGTTGGCAGGGTCGCATGTGACGAAGAACTGCATTCCGGTTCCAGGAGGGCCGTGCGCCCTGAAGTTGTGACCTGATCCAGCGAGGACAAGGGTGAAATAATCCTGCAAGTTGTGGAGGTTGGCCACGAAGGAAGGGAACATGTGCAGTATTGGCCAGTTGTTGGGATCACCGCTGGGTTATTTGATCTACAGCCAGCCCTCAGGCACAAGTAGTATATGGGAAGAAGCAGAACGAGTGTTGTGGAGATGAGCAGCTCTTGCGAGAACATGATTGACGTTGTGATCACAGGTATGGGATATGCTACTACTTAGATGTATCTTTCCATGGGCATGCATGCCTATGGCTTCATATATAGCCAAGTTCCGTCCGTAATACTATGTCATTCAATTGGTACCAGTGGCGGAGACAGGGGGGGACCAGCAAGGGCCCTGGCCCCCTCTAACATCGAGGATTTGTAGTTAATTTACTGATGAACAGTGCAGAATTCATGGTTATTTGCTGCTAAAAGCATGTCTTTATATGATTTGGCCTCTCTCTAACCTGCCTCAACATCCCTTGCCCCCCCTAATAAAAAATTTCTGGCTCCGCCACTGATTGGTACTGTATAAATACACTAGCAACGACGAGATGTGCACATGTAAGCTTTTCCTCCATTGGTTCTGTACTACTAGCTAGTACTACTATGCTATGTTAGTGTCAACAAAACTCAACTTCATTAATTGGGTTGGCCACATGTATAGGTGCCTAGTTGGTCCAAAGCCTATGGTTTGTGCACAAAGCAGGTGGCAGTTGGCAGATTTGGCGTCAATAAGTATGTTAAGTGCAGTACTTGATAAGTTTCTCTTATATACTAGCTCCTTGGTTTTATCGAAGAAAAAAAAGGTTCATTGGTCCTCTATCGTTTTGGCCTTACCATTCTGATCTGATGACATGATTCTGATATTGGTAATGGGAGACGTGTGCAAGCATCCTGATGCAGACCCTCCAAAATAAGATAGACTCCTCCACAACACCGTACTCAAATAGGAGAGCTACTGCGACCTCTTAAATAAGTGTGAGGTCCTTCATGTTCACACCCATTTAGTATATGTAACATATGCTGGCATGCCTAAATCACCATTTACATGTGTTGTAACTGATCGATTCACATGCCAGTTTGATTTCATTTCTCTACAAGTGGGACAATATTACAAGTCCATACAATGGAACAATGTTTCCTTTTTTTGAGAGTACACAAAGAGCGCACCATAGCTTTACATAAGGAAGAGGTTAGTTACAAGAATTACAAACGATGGCTAGTACCACATAGCGCTTCTTAGCACATCCACCACTCCACTCCACACTGAACACGGGAGACTACTCGTCGAGGTGCTGAGCTCCTCTCCCTCCTGCAATAGCCCACTTGTAGAATTTTATCAGTAGTGCCCCATTCATTTAGGATATATGATCTAGAAAACATCAAAACAACATCCTGTTTCGCTGCTTTCTAAGGTTCCAACAGATCAATATGGTGAAGGAGTCGAACCCTTTGTGATTTATTTTGGGGATGCACTTGTTAGTAGCCGACCACCACGCCTCCATCCAACGGTCCGCCGATGGCAAAATCGATATATCAATCCCCACTTTCCTGAAGTAGAGGAACCACACTTGGCGAGAAAAGACACACTGCAGCAATATGTGGCGAACCGTGTCTTCCTCATGGTCACAGAAGAAACATAGCGAGCGTTGATCTTGAGGGCCATGTCTAAGTCTCCGATCAAACTTCCATAGCCGATATTGTAATGCAAGCCACATGAAGATCTTGTAAGTGAGAGGTGCCCAACATCGCCAGATCACCGAAGAACAATGGAACCGGACGGCTCCTTCATAAAGAATCTTATAAGCTGAGGCAGCCGAATACTGCCCATTGCTATTCCACTGCCAAACTGACTCGTCTTCAGCGTTAGGTGAATGGATTGGACCAGCCCATCAGTAGACAGCTCTCCCACGATATCCAGCGCCCAAGCGTTCAGATTTGAACCATCCTTGACAGACGTCTTGTTAACACTTGTGTCCTAACCATAGCAAAAACGATCGGTGCAATCTCGGTAATTCACTCCGTTGATCCATTGGTCTTTCCAAAACAACACAGGATTACCATTTCCGACCTGCCACTTCACCAGACTGTCTTTTCAAGACTGATGATTTTTTCTCAAATCCATGAAACCTTTTTTTAAATCATGAACTTTTTAGAAATCGTGAACTTTTTTGAGTTTTTTCAAATGCATGAACATTTTAGAATTCGTGAACTTTTTTGTATTTCTTGCAATTTTTTCAGGATTTTTTTGGCTTTTTCCTGAAAATCAACGGTTCACCAGTTATGGGTAAATCAGCAATCGTTCATGCATATAAAAAGCAGTACCGATCATTTTTTTGTTTTGAGCGAGCGAACAATGTTCGGCAGTAGAAATCGTTTGTTTTTTACTTTTGAGCGAGCGAGCGTGCTGGTGGGCCGGCCCATGCAAGCGACCGTGTGAGCGCCAGCTCGTTAACTGGCGCAAAGAGCGCCAATTAGGACCTCTCTATGAACCACTCAAAGAAAAAGGAGCTCTCCATGAAGATGTTGGCTTGAATTTGTAACCCCTTTGTAAAGAAAGAAATTTTAATAGTTATCTTGAAATTTTAGAGGAAAATAGCATTAATTGAATTAACATGGCATGCTCATTTTTGCCTAGAAAAAATATGCCATGTTCATTACAATCGACTTCCACACCAAATTAGCTGAATAGGGAAGAATTTTGCTATGTGGTGTAGCTTGATAAACTTGGATTTAGCATGCATATGTTATTGGCAGTTTTTTAAGGCTATGCTAGTTATATTTTGTACCGACACCATTGTATATCTTGTTGTAGAATGCGGGAGGATCACCTAGCCTCACTGTTTCAGTTTTCGCTTGGCTATTTTAGCTATATTATTGCTAACCTCATCAGTGTCATACGCCTTTTGTTTATCCAAGGCCATGCCAAAATTTCCCTTTAATTACGTCAGTTTTTAGTGCCTACAGATGACTCTGATGTGTCATTTTGACAAAAGTCCCACTATGGTCAGTTCTTGTAGTTCAGTTAGGTAATCTAATTTTCAAATGATATGTGATATGGTGATTTGCCTTTATTTTATTAATTTCATGTGTTCCTTGTCATCGGAATTTGTGCATGAATTGGTTACATGTCTGCAAAGCTAACCAAATATGAATGAGATGAATTACATGTCTGCAAAACTAACGAAGTATGAATGAGATGAATTTCCTCTTTGCAGAATCCACATACTACGTATTACATGCAAAAATCAGGTGAAAACCAAAACAAAAGGGCCAAGCCCACTTCAAAACACCGTAAACACACAGGGCCAAGCTCACTCTTGACAGTGTGCCGAATGCCACGATACACACAAACCACACAAACACACACTAGCCAGGGGACTCGCTCCACCGAACAAGCGGCTCTTCCATCACGGCCGGAAAGAAGTCATGAGGCACTCTCCCGCGGCGATGAAGAGACCAGCATTCCACATGCCTGCAATAGTTGTAACCCACATGACACGAGTTCCATGTCGTCGAAGTTGCAAAGCTCTTGGGGCCGCCTCCAAAACGTCCACTGCTCCAACATGCCTTGCGCACTCAGCCGGTACTGCTTCTAGGGTCATCTCCCTGAAATTGCCACTGCAGAGACGTGTGTAATGCACGTGCATGCTTACTAGTTTCCTAAAACCCTCCTTGTATCAATGCGTGCAAATCTTTTGCGTATTCGGGGAAAAAAAGAGATCTAACTAAGTCGATGCCCAAGCCCATACAGACAAAGAGCCTTGAGTTTCTCTTTTTCAAATTCGCAATATTTTTTAATTTCACTAACATTTTCTAAAGTTTGTGATTTGTTTTAAAATTCTTGAACATGTTTTTAATCCGCAAATACTTCTATTTATGGAACATGTTTTAGTTAGTTTATACATTTTTGTAAATTTGTGAATGTTATTTTAAAATTTATGAATTTTTTAATTTCCAAATAATATTTCAATACTTTTTATTATATACTATAACATTTCTCCGAAATAAAAACCAGGGCAAATTTCGCCAGGAAAAAGGCAGGATCACTAAATGGGTATGTGGGTTGTTAATAAGGAAATTGTGATAAAATGCCTTCGTCGGGCCTGGTTTTTGCACGTCAGGAAACCCACATCTTCACATGCTTTGGGATCTGGAAACCGTCGGGTGACTGGCAGGCCTGTGGCATGCGGCATGCCTACTCCCTCATATACGGTCCAGATACACATGTTTTAGTTTGGTTATCTAAAAAAAAGGTGTATATGTTTGGCCCATCGCCATCTTCTCTGTTTCTCTCCCCAAGGGCAACGACTGCCAGCTCTTTCTGGCAAGATGCTTTCCATCTGTATTGAGCGCTATAGGTACGTATTTTTTTTTTCATGGAGTATGACTTTAGATCCACATCGCATTCCATGGATTTTTTTTTTGAAGGTCTATTCCATGGATTTGAGTTTGTATGGCTGCCAATCATTTCTGGTTGTAGGTATATGTTTTTTTTTTGTCTAAGTCACAAATTCAGGTTGTTCAGTTTCTTGTCACATTTATATAATCAATAAAGTAGACAAAGCTTGTTAATCTCTCATATATGTCAGACAACTGAATCATCAAATTCAGACCCAAGACACTAAGCCCTTGCCTCCTCCACATCTGTGCACTGACAGAGCTTCACGGCTTGCCGCTCTGAAAGCCAACATTGACCTTCACGGCTCATGATGAACCACACTGACACCCACATGAACATGAACATGCACGCTGACTACATGTTGTTTTCCTCGACAGTGAGCAATGGTACACGTTCACAACACACATTGGTTCGGTTGTGATGTTGAGCAATTGGTTAAGGATCTCGTGGCACAACTCGAGGTGTAAATAACAGAGTACGTTCAGTCTAACTAGAAGGAAAGGTGCTCCGTTATAGGTCGAGGCGTAAATAAAGGATGATGCATGATGACAATGATAATATACATATAGAATGTCTTTTCTCCTTGATTGTATAATTCAAAACAGAAACTTCAGTTTGCACAACTGAAGGCCAGGACCTCAAGCAAGCCAGATGAGATGAGCTGCTAGCATTCTTGTGCTGACAAGAACACAAGCTGCCCATTTATTTCACCAGCAGGCAGGTACCAAGTAGGTGAATTCACAAGACGATTGCCGGCGAAATATAGCGAATTAAGGACAGCCAAGACATGGCGGCTAGGGTTTACTCCAAGTACAGGAAGATGACCTCCAGGGCTCTCGACGATGAGCCCGCCCGGTTTGGCGCCAACCGACCGCTGGGTGTCGATTTCTTCAGCTAACAGCATGACAAGTGTCGATTTCTTCAGAAGATGATGCAGTCTCATTCCTGACAAGGAGGGAGATGTGTAAGTAATTGGCATGGTTCCTCAAGGTCAGAATATTTTGCACTAAACAAATACTGAATGGCGGAAATACTAACCATCGACACACATGGTATGAATGTGAATGATGTGCTCATCGTAGCAATTTCTAAGTGACATCACAAGGCTGACAGGCTTCAGATATACCACCAAGCTGCAAGCTACGCTTCTTATGGACTAGGCAGTGTTTTTGCTTCTTCTTCTTATAGTCACCAGTGAAGCTTGCATAGAAAGAACGCTGCCCAACAAAGGTGAGAGTTGGTCCGCAAACATAAGAGCATGGTTAATAGTATAGCCAGCTGCTGGCTATAAGCCAGTGCCATGTCTTCTACAGCCCATCTTATAGCCAACATGTATAATAGTAGATCAAAAGAGTGTACTACTTTTTTTTATTATGTGGCCCACCTTTTATTCTCACAAAGTGCCTAGGAGCACGTGCTAGAGCTGACTCTTTACGAGAGCCCGCTTACCTTCTCTCTCTTCTTCTCTTTCCTCCGACTAAGCAGAAATATACTAGTTTATTTCTTATAGCCCGCTGACTCAACTCTATTATACTTGCTCTAAGAAAAGACTAGTTGAAGGGGAACTGTTGACACACTAGTAGATATGGGATAAATTAATTCATGAAAATAGAAGAGAATGAATGACCTAGGCGACTATGCCATTCTGCTTGCAAGGGCTTGGTGGTGACAAAAGCTAGTTTCCTGATTGGCAAAGATAATGAAGATATGAGAGGGTAAAGACCCCCAACGCACTTGCATCTATGAATTACCCTCTTCATGACCTGATCCCTGCTCAAGAAAAAATGAGGATGAAATTTAAAGAAAAGTATTATTGTCAATGGCAAGGCGATAAACAGAAGAAAAAAAGATTCTTGCAGGCGCTAGGAACATGAAGAACATTTGTTTAGATGTAAACTTTTAACAGGGTTATGAACAAGTGCATGACCAACATGACTAATCTTGGTACCTAGTCCATTGGCAACATGAACCTGATCGTTGCCCTTGTATTTCTCACGGATTGTCAGCTTGTTAAGCTTCTCATTTCACAGCTGGGAGCAATGAACACCTACGTACGTACGTACACTGAAAAGGAAAATTTAGCAAGATACACACCAGGATTTATTTGACCATGCATGCATGCATGTAGTCCCTAGCTTGTCAAACAACATACTACTCTCTAGAAAAATAAAGAGTTATTTAGAAACGGAGGGAGTAGATAGCTGCTGCACCCAATGCCTCTAATTAATTAAGGCAGCTCGGCCCCTGGACAAGGCATGCCGGGAACGGGAACCGGCACGGGCACGCGGAGGACTGGGCGTAGCAGGAGGTTGGCCTTCCGCCGGGCAGTGAGCCCGAACGTCTCGGTCATGTCCAACTGCGTGGGATCGGACAGTCCGGGCTCCTCCCACTCCCAGTCGAAGTGGAGCAGCAGACTGGCTAGGGCGAGCTCCAGGACGGCGACGCCGAAGTTCATGCCAGGGCACATCCTCCGCCCGGCGCCAAAAGGCAGGAGCTCGAAGTCGAGGCCCTTGAAGTCCCTCGCCGCCTCGCACTCGAACCTCTCCGGCCGGAACTCCTCGGGCGCGTCCCAATATCGCTCGTCGCGGCCCATCGCCCAGACGTTGACCAGAACCTGTGTGCCCTGTGGCACGTCGTACCCTAGCACCTGGCACATCTCCCGGCTCTCTCGTGGAATCAGCAGCGGCACCGCTGGGTGCAGCCGCAGCGTCTCCCGGATGACGAGGTGCATGTACGGGAGCTCGCCGAGCCTTCCCTCGACCGCCGTTCCGCTGGCCTCGAAGGCTTGCCGCACCTCAGCCGTCGTCCGCTGCATCACCCTTGGGTTCTTGGTCAGCTCCGCGAACACCCACTCCAGCGTGGTGAAAACCGACTCGCTGCCGGCGGCGAAGAGCCCCTGCACGCGGCCAGTTTCTCTTGCATGGTTGAGAGGATCAAAGCAAAAATTATTTACCTACTTAGTTAAGATTAAGAGGTGCTTACGAAGACGAAGGATTTGATATCATCCATGTCCAGCGGGAACTTGAGATCCCCCTCCTTCTGAATTTTCAGCAGCACATCCAGCAGATCCTCGGTATGGCCGTCACCCGTCCTCTCCAGGTGCTTTTGGATGATGCCGTCTAGGATCCCGAAGACGGCGTCTCTGCATTCCTTGGCCTCTTTCCCGGCGCTGGTGAGCGCGCAGGCGAGACGCGACGAAGGCCACAGGTCGGCCAAGTTGAACCCCCCCGCCAGCTCCACGGCGCGCTCCAGACTAGTGAGGAACACGTCTATGTCCTTGCACCGGACACCCATCACCGCACGCACCATGGTCTCGGCCACCAGCGTGGACAGCCGCGCGCGCATCTCCATCGGGCGCGCCTTCACCGCCGCCTCGGCGACATCGTGTAGAGTGGCAGCGACCTCCTCCTCACGGATCCACCGGAAAGATCGTATGCGCCGCGCAGTGAGGAGCTCCGTGACGGCGATTTTGCGGAGCTGCCGCCAGTACTCCCCGTACGGCGCAAAAATGATTTCCCGCCCGCCGTTGGTTAGCACGCTTGTGGTGGGTCTCAACCGGCGAGAGGCGAACACCGTATCGTGGGTCTTCATCACCTCGCTTGCCGCCTCGCGGGAGGTGATCACTAGCGTTGGCACCTCGCCGAGCCGGAGCAGCATGACCGAGCCGTGTCGCCGGGACAGGCCGCGCATGGCATGGTGCGGTAGAGCGCCCACGAGGTGGTGCAGGTGGCCGATCACTGGGAGCGCCCACGGAGATGGTGGTGGCCGCAGTCCTTGGACGCCATGTTTCGCCGTGCGCCTGCGGCCGGCGAGCACGACGACGAGCAGCGACAACAGAGCCAAGCCAAGGTACAGGTATGAGTACTCCTCCATTGTTGCCTGCAGTGTGGTGTGGGCATGGTGGCATATTTATTGCCTCCAAAGAAGGTGCCAGTCAAATTAAGAATCTGCACCCTCCCTTGTTGACTCAACTAGTCCAGTAGGAACGACTGACCTTCTGACGAGTTCCTGTCCGTTTGCCGTGTTCAAGGTAAGCCGAGCACGGCTCTCAGTAATCACTAGGACACGGCAGAGGCAGGGCGTAATCGAGAGTCAGGCCAAAGGGACTCGGTAAACATGAAAAACTCGGCTTACCAGATGGCTACCGAGAGCCAAAACCTAGCTAGATACCACCTCCGTCCTGAATTAGTGGTCTCTTTTGTATTTTAATGCTAAATTTTGATCTTAGATTTAACTAGTAAAATGCCGATGCATGTAACAGAAAGTAATATCATTAAAAACTATGTTCAAATACGAATCCAATGATATAATTTTTGATGACATGCATTATTATTTCTTAGTTAAATCTATGATCAAAATTTGGCATAAAATACTATGGGGACTAATAAACCAAGACAGGGGTAGTACCCGGTAAAAGGGTGCCCGCCGTTTGTGATTCATGGCTCCATGATGTCGGGCGCGGGTTTGCCGAGAACCTTTGAAAGGGTACTCGGCAATCATTTTCCTATATACTAACCCATTTTCCTATATATATATATATATATATATATATATATATATATATATATATATATATTGACAGCTAGCACATACCACACATATATATTTGACAGCACAGCACATATATATAGTTTGACATTGAGCTCATAGTCACATCACATACAAACGCAAACTCATAGCAACAAAAGTTCACAATTGCAACATACATAAGAGTGTTTAACGCACGACCTCTAGTGCATACAACATAGTCCACCCAAACACACGAAAACGGAAGATACGACTCCATCACGACAATCCTAGAGGAGGAGGAGGGCCACGTGGCATATTCGCAACACTTTCCCGAAACGCCTACAGGAGGAGGACGAGGGTTGACACATCAGCATTTCTCCGAGTTGGTCAATCGGTTAATATGGACTGTTGTCTATATGGGAAAAATAATAACCTGGAACCCGGCCTCGAGCTTCTCTCTGGCCACCACTTCGGCCTTCTTCTTTTTGTTCTGTGCGTCCACGAGCTTCTCTCTAGCCGCCACTTTGGCCTGCAGCTGTTCATCCTATTCGTCCATGGCTTGTGCCCGTGCGGCCTCGGTTGCCTCCAACGCGGCATGTAATATGGCGAGTTCCTTCACAAATAGGTTGCGACTCAAGAATGTAAAGACAATGGCATATATGAAAGCTACAAACCTAGAGCCATGCAATCTCACATGATTGAGTCGTCGGGTGACTCCTTATGGAGGGACTTGAGCTTGTGCCTTGCGCCCGCATCTGACTTAGCTTGGGATGTGAGGACGTGGCGATCGCGATACAAACCTAAAGTGCTTCTACAACAATGCATAGAGCAGTTAAATAATTACCGAGCATCGGGATAATGATCAATGCAGTGACAGAGGTACATTCCCAAAAATCAACCTAGATGTGGTCGGCCTTGCTGACATTATTCTCACCCCAAGCGGCTTTGTAGTGCTCCCAGCTGAAGCCTGGCATCGCCGGCTTGTCTTTGCTCAGCTAGACTGAACCAGGGAAGTGTTCTTCAAAAGAGATCCAATGTGGTGGTTCAGCTGGCGCTTGTGCCCACCGTCGGTAAGACGCGTGCACAATGAAAAGGAAAAACATATGTGAGTGTCCAAATATTAATATGCTAAATAACTTGTAAAATCTTCTTTTACTTGTCTCCACTAGGTTCGAGGAGAGGCCGGCGGTCGGCGGGCGTGGGTTCCTTCGGTGCCTCCGACGGTCCACAGACAGAGTGTTTCCTCTCCGCTCTCGTTGAGGTGCCATATGCCAAGTCGTCCCCATGCCCCGTCTCCCATGCCTCATCATCCTCCTCGGTACCGAACCCATCCTCGTGGTCAGGGAAATCTTGTGTATCCTCGTCCTCATCGGAAGGGGACCGACGGTGGTCCTCCATGGCTGAGGGTATAGAACCAGTCGAGGACCCTTTGTGCTTGGCAAAATCGCTTCATCATCATTGACGAAGCACTTGCTATAAGAAAGACGGAATTAACTTGTTATAGAATTTTCACTAAGAGCTTTGTTATGAAAATAATATCTATACATATGCAGTTGATGATTTTGCTACAAGAAGAAAGTTTAAAGGCCTTTATTTTTTTGAAAAGGGGCGCTTCATTACTTAAAAGGTTTAAGCATTACGCCCAGACTGTGTATAACTAAGATGCACACAGCCAAACAAAGTCCTCTCGCACAAACGAAAAATAAAAAGGCGGAATACAAAGATAGAGTCCGTATAATGCCTAAAGTGGAGGTGGGCCAATCCTAAGATCATGTTGCCACCCATGTTTGATAAAAGTATCCCTCGCCGTCTCCTCTAATCGTGTACACACCCCCGTAAATAGGTCCCGATTCTCCACGGGTTGTAGAGAGGATCATAAACGAAGAGTCCCGGTACATATGTAGATAACCTGCATTTGAGAAGTACTTTTATCGTTAAACGCCTTTATGAAGATTGAAAGAAAGTATAAACTAGGCATGGCTTCTCCCCGCAACCAATCAAACTAAGCATATTAACAGAATTGTACGATATGTTTGTGAAGTTAAACTTACTGGACATTGTGTCTTGTCATTGTGTCCGGTCGAGAAAAAAATACCCAAATATACATGAATCATCACAATAAATTGGCAAATACCATCAATTCGATTCCCAGTTGTAATACACTTAATTTTGAATTTCCTAGTTATACAATTTTGAAAAAATAGATAAAATTGAGATATGTAGAGGACCATTTTATTGTAATATTTCAATGATCTGCCAGTCGGCGAGCCGGCCATTCGATGGGAGATGGAGGCTGGCGAGCAGCCGGGCAAAGACGATGCACACAACACGTACAAAGGTACGGGGATATCGATCGATCAATCAATCGACGATCAGGTTTGAGTTCCTCCCTCTACGTGCACGCGCGCGTGCGTTTTATGTGCGTCGCTATCCAGATGGGCCACTACACGCGAGATATGCTATTGCTGCGTTCTTGCGTCGCTGGATTTTGGCCGGCTGACCGGTGTCCAAGCCAAATACGTGACCTGTATACAGTATAAGGCAAGAGGAAATTCTACCCGGTGTCCAGTGACTCGCAGTGACCTACTCTGTCGAACTATCTGGCCTCCCACCATTGTCCAAAGGGGAGAAGAATTTGCGACTGCTATGGAAGAAAAACAACTAGGATGCTCTGGTATATTCACTCCACAGGTCATCATTTGGTTTGCTGCGAATGCATCCAACTAGGATGCTACTCCACAAGATGCCATCACCTAATGACATCATTTATTTAACATATGGTTTCACTCTAACCAAATGCGCATCATATTAAGTTATAGCAAACACAACAAAATATAAATTAAGACAACAGTACCAAGAGTTGGTAGTATGATACATGTAGTCTAGCTATTTCTTGCAGTCTCATCTATACATTGGTTGGTTCATGTTAACAAGGAAAAGTTGTTAGTAGCTTGTTAGCCGCCACAACAATAACATAGTGAACGCTTTATATTCATCTATTTTATTTTGAGGGAACTAACTTAAGTTGTCTGTAGCTACCTACCTAGGTGGGGGAAATTAGTGGGCTAACAGACTAAATTTGGCCCGTACTGCTGCCGGCCATCATTTGATTTGCCGTCACCAAACTAATAAATTTTGTCTAAAAAACTAACAAAATAAATATTTAACATATGGTTTTAAGCGAGCGCCTTGGTGCGTTAGGTTAGCTATCTATTGTTGGGCAAGTTGGATTGTTTTTGTATATAAACCAACATTGAACAGGTAGCCTGTCCGTATCAATAGAACTTTTAAAGTCAAGATAGATAAATACGTATAGGACGCCAATTTTCTTCACGCTCCATAGAAGACTAGGGATGCTGCCACCCTAATTTCCGGGGAAGTGGTACACAAAGGAGAGTGGTGGTAGAGGAAAGGTACCGGCATCGGTGAAGAGGGCGACTGGACGTGGGAAGTCTGTTGCGGCAGTGCCCGCCCTCTCGGCACTTGGTGCTGCGTGGGAGAGGTTCCGGGCCTTGTCAATGGCCATGGCCATGGGTGTGGGCCTTGACCTGAAGGGGTTAAGACTTTTAGAGCAGAAAGCTGTAATATTTATATTATTTTATTTCCTTATAGAAATAGAGGGTACAAATGAGACTAAATTCTGAGAAAAAATAGTAATCTTTGTTTGATTTTTATTTTGAAAGAATTCAAATGATAAACCATTTTAGTCTTCATCCTTTTGATTGGTATCTGTCAAAAATTATGTGTGGAAATTTTGAGAACAAAATATGTCGTTGTTTGATTTGTTAGTATGAGTGAGGCAAAGAAATTTATTCAGGTGACACACTAAGACGGTGCTTTTTTTTTTTTGAGACAGTAGTCAGGCATCCATTATATAGGTAAACAGTTACAGAACCGCACGGAAACATTGCAAAAAGGACCCTCGAGAAAGAAATAATACAAATTAGTCCTTGAAGATCCCAGCAAACTGCAACACCATCGTTTTCCTCTGTAAACTGAAGCCGCCAGTGCACCCAAGACCGAGGGAGCACCATTGTAGCAAGTGCTTTGTGAGCCGATTATGCAACTCGCCGGTGGTGGCAAGATCGAGTACCTTGTGGCTCGTCGGCCGGAGGTCTTCTCCATGCCCCTCGGACCCCGGCACCTTCGTCCTCAACCGATGTAGTCGAACAAGAAACACAGGGATGCCGGACGTCATCCTCAAACCTGGATCCGGTTGAACCATTCCTCGACAAAAGCCGCTGGCAGCACAAACCGAAGAAGCAGCAGATGTCGACCCACTCCTAAACAAACTTCCCAAACCTCGCCGCGGCACTGGAGTATATGCTAGCACAACGGAACTGAGATTGGAAGATAAAAGGTCA